CCTCAACCGAGTACCCAGGCCCAAAATATTCAACCCCGCCTCCTAGCCAAACATCTGGCTAGCTCGAGCTCAACCCGACTCTAATACCATGTAAAGAACTAATTCAACCCAAAAGATCATTTAATGTAGTGGAAATAACTGAATTTTGAGTTGTTCGATCAAGTAAGGGAAAGTCAATGGAATTCATATCTGTCTCAATGTTTTTTTTTAATTGTCTAAATATTCAAAAATTAAGACCACTCTAATGCCCCCTTTCGCCATGCATAAACTGAACCAACAATTAGAATAAGCACGAAGATGAAAGCTTCTATAAATACGGATACCCCCAACATCAAAACTAATTGCCCATGGATAAAGAAAAATCGTTTCAACATCAAAAACAACAAAAACTAGAGCAAACATATAATAACGGATTTGAAATTGTAACCAAGCATCACCCATTGGTTCTATTCCCGATTCATAACTAGAAAGTTTCTTCGGCCCTTTCCTAATCGGGGCTACAATTCCAGAAATTAGAAATGCCAAAATAGGAATAAAACTAGCTTTTGGGTTGAATTAGTTCTTTACATAGTATCAGAGTCTCATGTCCTGGGTTTGATCCTCATCGCCCTCCGCTTTTTCTTGTGGAATTTCTTAGCATAGGTAGGGGGCTTGTGCATATTATCCATCCTTCATGCCCAGTGAGCTCTCGTGTAAGGGGGTGTGTTAGAGAATAATATAAACCATTAAAAAGACCCTCATCCAAGAGCTTAATCTGTTGGTTGAAATGATTTTTTACATGGTATTAGAGCCTCGTGTCCCAGGGGATCCTCACCGCCTCCCACTTTCTCTTGTGGAATTTATTAGCACAGGTAGGTGGGCTTGTGCGTATTATCCGCCCTTCATGCCCAGTGGGCTCTAGTATGAGGGGGTGTTTTAGAGAATAATATAAACCATTAAAAGGCCTTCACCCAATAGTTTAAGCTTTTGGGTTGAATTGATTCTTTACAGTATGGATCAGGCTCTGTTAGAGGGCTCTAATACCATATTAGAATTTCTCCATTGAAGTAAAGCCTGAGAAAGTGAGAGAAAATGTTGAGAGAAAAGAAACTGAACAAGAATCATTTCTTTTATTGAATCTGAAGAAAATGATTTGGTTTACAGAGAGAAAGGAGCGATCTCTATATATATAGCTGAGGCTGACGATGAGTCAGCATGCTAACTAACTATACAACTGAAAGAAAGCTACGCTAATAAGTTGTGTCAGTTAGCTAAACACCATAGAATTCCTTACCCTTTACGTGTCAATAAGCATTGAGAAATTGCCAAACAATAGCCTAAATACAAACCCCTTGCAAGCCAAACCATTCTAAAAGCAATCAAACAGAAGCATGCAGTAAAACAGGGCCAAGTGGTAGCAAGGCGACGTCAAACCCAAAGAAGAAACAATGAAAACCTCAAAATGGAAACCAAGATGGAGCACCTAGTAGATTGGCACCGTAACACATCAAATCCTCAGCTCAAAGAAGTTAACACTAGATTATTGGTGTTAAGAGAATGGAATGATGGTGGGGTCGATTAGAGTTGTGGAACCCATTCATGATAAGGAATCTAACATGGACAAATCTGGGAGTAGAAAGTGATGTGGGTGGAACATAATCTTGGGTTTAAGTGGTTGGAATTTTTGCATAGGCAATACGAAGGCAAAGACAATAACTGAAAATTAAGGTGAAATGAAAACAGAGCATAACAGACAAATACTGGGAAAGAACTTGTCACATAACCAATTCTCCCAAAAGTTTAAGTTGTTGGGTAAAGGCACATGAATATTTTATTATCTTTTAGAGTACATACTCTTTTTGGTCCTCAGCAAATTTCACGATGCCCTATTTAGTCCCAATGAAAAAAAAGGGCATTCGTGGTCCTTGGTTTTTTCAAATTAGGCCCACGTTAGTCCTTCTGTTAGTGGGGCTCCAACGTCGTTATTAACGGATCTCACGTGTAACATTAACTTGTTGAGTCACAATATCACAATCCACCTTGGACAAAGAACGACGTCGTTGAGTGTTTATCCACGTATTTTTATCCAGGCCAGATGATTCTCCTCTAAGTCAAGGAGGCCCTGACACTCATGGTGGTTATTGCTGAAATTTATTTGTTGCGGTTTTGTGACCCTTGATGCAATGATATTCGGTGTATGCACATTCTTGGTGTAGGTCGACATGGATCATGAGATCGAAAATACCCTCTTAGCCTTTTTAGGTTTTGAACTGGGGTTTGATTTCTCGTTGTTTGACGCTCAAATCAGAATGCATTTCGTGGATGTGAAATTTGGTGCTATGGATTATGATTTACAAATAATTAAATGTGGGATGGACCCCGTTTGAGTTTCTGGTGCTGCATTTAGGTGGCCATTTTTTTGGTCTTTCCTTTGGAGATTTCTATTTTTGTGATGCCTGAGAATGGAATGACGAATTAGATTACTGTGGGTTGTCAATCTATTCTTGTTATCTTGTTGGTCTGTTCAAGACATAGCCTTGTGTATCTATGATAAGAATGTAAGATTTATGGTTAACTACTATAAGCTTTGTCCTGGCTAGCATTATTGACTTGTATATGATTTTGGAAAAGCATTTTTTTCTTAGTGCATTTGAATTTGAGGATTGGTTTTCCAAGGAACTTTCTTGATTTGCAGAGTCTGAGCTCTGCAAATTTGCCCCTCAAAAGTTGAACTACGACTGTTTGTTTGGAAACAAAAATGGGTCACCATTTTGTTTCTTTCTTCATGTGCATCTTTGTTGTTAATGAGGGGCTTTGAATAAATATATCTCTTGGGGGATTGCATTATATGGTTTCTTATAGCTAGACATTCTTATGTGTCTATGTTTTTGGTTTTTGGTTTCATTCTTTATGGATATTTTTTCCATTGTAACATTCAGTGGCTGTTTCCACCGTGAGTGTATCATGATGGACAGGTGAGCCCCAACACCCATGCATACACCACATGGACAGGCTGTTCCCGAGTGATCTATTTTTGTTCTTAAAACTTGTGAAACTCAAGAATATGATGTAATCTGCCTTTATACTAAAACACTTGGAATAGCTTGGCATGACTACAAGATGTCAGGATGCTATTTAGCAGGCAGAAATAGGACCAAACTAGTATACACTAGACCAAAGTGAATTATTGCAAGCTTAATCCCATCCTCTCCCTTTCTTTTCTTGCCATGGGACAAAATAGTAAAAGAAAGCAGGTAAAAAAGGATAGAGTGCTTATGTTGTTGGAATTTTTTTTTTTTTTGACTGACAAGTAGTTACATTATAAACATATTTTGTTTCCTATCATACAAGTAGTGGGTAATTTCTAGATAAGAGGTTGAAAATATTTGATATACAGGTTGAAATCTATTTGGTATCTGTATTAGATATTTAACAATCTTATTTTGTGTATTTTTTGCTGGCTAATATACGGCAGTCTTTGAGTGATAAACAGGTTGCTAGGTTGAGAGAGGAGATCACAAATTCAGTGGGCATAAGAAAGCTTGTTTCAGTTTCAGATGATGATTTTTTCATTGAACGTTTGATCTGTATGGAGATACTTGAGAATATGGCAGATGTGGCTGGGTCTGTGGCTAGGCTTGGGAAGAAATGTAGTGATCCAATTTTGAAAGGTTTTGAATGCCTTTTATGAGTTCATCACTATGGATGTGAATCCATATGGGTGGGAATTCACTTGCAAGAAGATGAAAAAAAAGATCGAAAGGATGGAAAAGTTCATATCAACTAATGCAAGTTTGTAACAAGAGATGGAAGTGTTTGCTGATCTTGAGCAAACTCTTACAAGAATGAAAGCTAGTGGTGAGTCTGATGTTGTAACTTTAATTGAGTTTCAAAAGAAGATTGGATGGAAGAGGTAGGAGGTGAAGAACTTGCAGGATATTTCTCTGTGGAACAGGACATATGATTATGCCATCAACATGGGGGGAGACCATCACAATGTTGATGGCGATGGGAAATTTCAGTATATTATCTCCACTTTTTGCAGATACGATCGTAAAATGGTTTTGGGAAATTTTGTTAGGGTTCTCTATTTTCCTTTCTTGCAACGTCTTTACCATGAGCAACGAGGAACCTCGAGTGAGATGCAAGTGATACACTCAACGACATCGTTTTTTGTCCAAGGTGGATTGTGACATTGTGACTCAGCAACTTAACATTACACGTGAGATTCGTTAATAACGACATTGGAGCCCCACTAACAGAAGGACTTACGTGAGCCTAATTTGAAAAAACCAGGCACCACGAATGCCTTTTTTTTTCATGGGGACTAAATAGGGTTGCTAAGGATCAAAAAGGATATTTACTGTATCTCTTAACACGCTCCCTCATGCTAGAATCTTTTGGGTTTTGAAGTTGGATAATGCACATATCCCTTTTTGGTTTACCTTATGCCAAAACTTAACTTTTTTGTTATAATATTGGGGCAACAAGGATCGAACTCTAGATCATTTGAAAATAGGCTCTGATACCATGTCAGTTTTTGGTAGAGTTTGTTGTAAATTTAGAGAGCTATAATACGCCCCTTCCCACAACATTAGGACCTTTTGCTTAATTATTATTTTTTTGAGTTATTTTTTGTTTTGTTACTTTGTATCCTACATCACACACACTGATATGCTCGCTATACTCACTGTTATTATTCTAAAACTTAATTAATTATGAGAGTGGATGTGTGAGGATTGAATTTAAAGCCAATTTAATAAAAGCATTGATATGGATGCAATAAATCATTCAACTTAGTTACTCAAATGCTGAAGTATTTAGCAGATGTTGGAAAATATCTTTAATTTAGGAAAAAACTTCCTATATCTTCTATTTAGGGACTATCTTTAATTTAGGAAAAAAAGTTCGTATATCTTCTATTTAGGGAATGGTTATTCTGTAAATAACTAGAATTTGATTTGCATTATTTTCAATAATTTGCTAGTTTCCTTATCTTAGATATTGCAAATTTTTTAGTATTAGAGACTGCAAATTCCTAATTTCCCATTATTAGATATTGTAAATCATGCATAAATAGATGGTACTACCGAGGATTTCCTTACAAATCCCTTTGTACTGCTGAAAGTCTAGCAATGTTTCTTAATGCAATTACGAGTATTAAATATCATTTATTATTATATTGTTTTTACTTTTTTTCAACATTATTTTCTTTGAATTTTTATATCTTAAAGCATGCAAAATTTGTTGCCTTGTAGGCATACAACATCTCTTGCCTTGTATACAAGGAAAATGCTTTTGGCCCTGAGGCATGGCAATGGATCTAGTATGTGCTTCCTCTATGGACGTCATAATTCAATGGTTAGTTATTGCACATTTTTTTGTCCAATTTATAGTTTTTTATGCACTAGTGATTTGTGCTTTAACAATTATGAGACTAATGGACATTGGTTGGTTGCGTCCTTTTTTCCCCCTGAATTTCTGTAAGTTCTTTTTTTTATTTTTCTCTTGCAAACTTTTTTCAGTTATGACAACATAAAGATAGAGAAATTAGGCTAGTCTTGCTACAAATGTAATTGTTTAGAACTTTTGAAATAGTAGTCTTACATTATAATATTAGGACTTGAAAAGAAAGGAAGGGTAAAGAAAACAGATTGAACATGAGCAAAAGGAATCTTAAATGATTGAGAATCCTTTGAATTGGAGTCTTTTTTGGGTCTCCTTGACTCTTCCTTAGTTTGCTAGTCTGGATAAAAGGATTTTGTCTCTTGATCATTTAGGATAGCATTTATGCAAATCTTTTATTCAATTGCTAACTTATTCATTCAAAAGAGTAACATCTATTTTGATAAACTTTGTCAGAGAAAATATAAACCATTAAAAAGCCCTCACCCATCAGCTTAAGCTTTTGGGTTGAATTGATTTTTTACAAACTTCTTTGGAGGTCCCAACTTTTTGGGTAAACTATTTGCATTCTGCATAGTGATAATGCAAAAGAATATTTTTCTGCCCCATTTAGTTATTTTATGTAGTTTCATGCAATGATTCATCATTCCACTTCTCCTCACTCATCTCAACATAATAACATTGCCAAAAGATAACAACTTCATGTCATTGTGTTTAACCTATAGGGTTTAGGTTGAGAAGGAGGAAAAAAGAGATATGAATATTATTCTCTTATGTATGTTGTTATATGATATGATGTGATATAAAATACAAAGCCTAATCCTTATTTATATTAATACTATACTCCTAATCATAATTAAATAAGGGAACAAATCCTGAAATGTAATGAAACTTGGAAATCACCCCTAAGTGATAATCGAAAGTGCTTTTCTCATTCTCTGATACAATAATGGTATTATAAGATATATCTAGATATCTTATCTCTCCCTTTCAAGCTAAAGGTTACTACGCTTTAAGCTTGTTATAAATAAACACAAAAGTAACTAAAATAATAACACAATGGGTAGAGAGTCTGGGATTATAGATGGGGCCAATTTTCATTTAGAACAATGACAGGGCTAGAGAGTCTGGGATTGAAGACATGGCCATATTGCATTTATGACTAAGGGCTAGATTGCATTTGGGAGAAAGACAGGGCTAGATAGCATCTGGAACATAGATAGGACTGGTGCGAATTATAGCCAACATAAGTTACCTCTAGTATGATTCATTCGTGGTAAATACGTCATCACTAGAATGATTTTCAGAGCTATTACTAATATGATTTTGTGAAGAACCAATTCAACCCAAAAACTTAAGCTATTAAGTGAATATTTCATTAATGATTTTATATATTATATCTCTAACACACCCCTACACGCAAGAGCTCATTGGGCTTAAAACATGGATAATGCACACTCCCATTTTTGGTTTGTTTTGTGCTAATTTTAACTTTTTATTTTTATTAGAAAAAGGGGATAGTTAGGATTGAACCTATGATCATATAGGCCGTGATACTATATAAAGAATCAATTCAGCTCAGAAGCTTAAGATATTAAGTGAAGGTTTCATTAATAGTTATATCTTTAATAGATTCATTGGTGCAGGACCATATAACAAATGCCTTCCTATTTTGCTCCTCAAATCAATATATAAAAGATAGCCATTCACTGGAAAAGAGAGAAAGTTTGTATTAAAGATGGGACAAATTGGAGCATGATGAAACTTGATCTAAAACATGCAGCAAAAAAATGATAGTGGAGGAAGGAGTATAAAAGAGTATGACTGTCTATGGATCTGCAAGAGAGTATAACTCTCTATAGTATCGTTTATCGTGACTATTACTCGGCCTTTGTGATTCACAATTAGTAATCCTATCATTGCTAGTTGGTTAGGTCGTTAGGTGGTTTGAGATTTAGTTATTGTTGTAAATATAGTAGTATAGAGTATTTTAGTGTGAGGGATGAAGTCCCACATCATGTATATATCTTTGTATTTCCTGCGATATGTAGTTGAAACACATGGAATTCGGTACATGCCTCTCGAGTCCTGATATTTAACATGGTATCTAGAGCCTAATGAAAGGAACCCTAATCCGTGCCTTTTTAGTGGGCCCACTATCCATTGAGTAAACTTTTTTTCCGAAAACTGTCACGTCCGTTAGTTTTCGGCCTAGGTCTTTCTCTAGCAATCATCCAAGAGCCTTTGAATAGCAACTTTTCCGGCTTTCACCGATGACTTTTCCAACATTGAATGACGACTTTTCTATGCGTGTCTGTCTCTCCAGTGTGCCCAATGGCTAGATCTAGTCTTTTTATCCCTCTTGGGGTTGTTTTGACACCTATGGCTTCCAGCACCACTGACTTTGTTGCGCACACGGGTAATAGTTTTACTAGTTTGTCTCAAACTCCATCTCTTGGTTATTGGGTTCCTGATTCTGGTGTTTCTGACCACATCTTTGGTAACAAGTCTTTATTCTCTTCTCTTTCTATCTTTGGTTACTTGCCTACAATCACTATGGCTAATGTTTCCTAAATAACTATCTCGTGGGGTTGGAATTGTCCATCTTTTTCCCTCACATTCTATTGATATTATACTTTATGTCCTTGGTTCTCCCTTTAATTTAATATCCATTAGTCGATTAATTCGTTCTCTTGACTGTCTCATCTTTTTTACCAACGAATCTGACAAGACCGGGGTTCTGGGATGGCGATTGGTGTCGGCTATGAGTGTAATGGGTTTTATCTACTTTCCAGCTCTTGTCGTGCTTGTTTTGATATAATATAAATATCCAATTCAACCCAAAAATTTTAGTGTAAATAACCAATTCAACCCAAAAGCTTAAGCTGTTAGGTGAGGCTACATTAATGATTTTATATATCTCTAACACGCCCCCTTGCAAGAGCCCATTGGGCTTGAAAGGTAGATGATGCATCAGGCCCAACCTACCTGTGCTAAGAAATTTCACAACGAAAATGGGGGGGCGGCGAGGATCGAACCCGGGACACCGAGGCTCTTTTACCATATAAAGAACCAATTCAACCCAAAAGCTTAAGCTGTTGGGTGATGATACATTAATGGTTTTATATATCTCTAACATTAAGTTATTAAGTGAAGGCTCCATCAATGATTTTATATTATATTTCTTTAACAATAATATCATAAGTTACCATCATTTATCCTCATCCCATTATGTCTTTATCTTTGCTTTCTTTTTCTTTTTCTTTTTCCTAAAATTGTTTAGGAAGCACTTTCCATTGAGGATGAGGTCAGGCTATGATTGATGAGATGTGTTAGAGAATAATATAAACCATTAAAAAGCCCTCACCCACCAGCTTCAGCTTTTGGGTTGAATTGGTTCTTTACATGGTATCAGAGCCTCGTGTCCCGGGTTCGATCTTTACCGCCCCCCATTTTTTGATTTTGTGGAATTTTCTTAGTACAGATAGGTGGGCCTGTGCATTGTCCACCCTTCAAGCCCAGTGGGCTCTTGTGTGAGGGGGCATGTTAGAGAATAATATAAACCATTAAAAAGCCCTCACTCACCAACTTAATCTTTTGGGTTGAATTGGTTCTTTACAAGATGGATGCCTTGAATTCCAATCATACATGGGCTCTTGTTCCTCTCCCTTTCAGGAAATCTGTAGTTGGTTATCAATGGTTTTTTTTCAAAGTGAGCCTTGATGGATTGATGGAAAGCTCATCTTGTTTCTAAAAGCTATACTTAAATTTTTGGCCTTAGTTATAGAGATACTTTCTGCCCTCTTTGCTTAAATGACATTTGTTCGACTCTTCTTATCTGCTGTTGTTATGCATCACTAGTCTTTATATCAATTGGATATGAAAAATGCCTTTCTTCTGGTGATTGGGAAAAGGAAATTTATATGGAGCAATCACTTGGGTTTCTTGCTCTGGGAGAGCTAAGTCTTGTTTTCCATTTGCGCAAATCTTTATATGGTCTCAAACAATCCTCTTGTGCGTAGTTTGGAAGATTTAGTAAAGTTATATAGCAGTTTGATATGGTTAATAGTGACGTAGATCAATCCATATGCTATTAATGTATATCTCTTTCTCAGTGTATTTATCTTGTCATCGAAGTGGATGTTATTGTTTTTACAGGAAATGTTCATGAGGGCATCAAAGGCCTAAAACAAACACTTGTCACAACATTTCCAAACTGAAGACTTGGTTTGACGTTGGTACTTCCTTGGGATTGAAGTTCCCCTAGTCAAAGAAAGGTAGTACCAATGCTTGACCTAATTAGTAGTATAAATGGGTGATTAGGTAATTATTTTAGTGGGTTACATCTTAAATGTCATAATTTGTTAACTGTTCTATAACACCCCCAAATTTCTAACAATTTTTAAAATAAAGAAATTGCCAAAATTCACATTTTAATATTTTATTTGAGTCTAATAAATGTTGCGGAAGATAATCTAAAACTAATTTGGGAAAATGTTAACGCCGCACCTGTAACAGGGACAAGTGCAAGGCTCTTTATTACATTAATAAATATTACAATAAAATCAGAGACTATGTCTAATACATAAAATTTAGGATTAGCTAAAAATCTCCGAGTCTTTATCCTCACTGCCCACTGCTAGCCCAATCCTTTGGAACCTATTTCACTGAAAGTCTACTCCCCCGAAGGATCATTGCAGCCAAACAAACACAAACACAAAAGTCAGCAAAGCTGGTAATCCTAATCAAAACACAATTTATATAACTCAAATATAGTAATCAAATAAAATATATAACTACATAATAATTGAACAATTATCAACTTTATCATATATATAATATATTCCCATCATAATCACATCAAATATCAACTTCAATATTCATCATATATATTCCCATCATAATCACATGAAATTATCAACTTCAATATTTATTCACATCGAATCAAATATTATTCATAATTTTTATTAAGTTCATTTAGTGCGAAGTGAACCATGGTAGACCCGGAGATCCTGCCAGTCTACCCTGTGACCCGGATATCCTGCCAGTCACATATTAACAATTTGGCCATTATCAAAAGCATCTCTTCCTAGTGTGCACACCTCTTCCCAAAGTTGCTACTAGTATCCCGGATATCCTGCCATATACCATTTTGTGAAGAACGGATAATCTCTTTTCACATCACATAATTATCAGAGGCATAAAACTTAAAAATTTTGTTCATCACTTTAGGAGGTACCATTCCAGAGCTATCCTCCCACTGGTTAATTTATTTCAATTACACACAATCAATTCAATCTTGTAACAGTTCTCATAATTGAAAAATTTTCTCAAGTAGTTTTCATAATTTTCACATCAATATTAGAATCACATTTAATAAATTTAATATAAAACAAAACTATAGTGCCCTAAGTCTCGAGATTACATCAAACAAAAATTCATATAAAGCTAACCCTTGACTCTCTAGGGATTAGGATTACTTGGTGATTTGAGCAGAGAAGCGATTGATAATCAAAGGAAAATAATAAAATAAAAATAAATAAAATAAAATAAAATATTGAAATAAGAAGAGAGAGTAGCAGAGGAGAAGAGGAGAAATACTGAGGATTGGTTAGGGTTAGACTAGGCCTTTATTTATAACTGAAGTTTAGGGCTTAGACATGGGTTTCGTGCAATTATTTCCTTATTCTTCATTGATGTACTTGACTCAGATATTGACTTTATACACTATTTCCTTTTTATTCTTAATTTCTTATGGCTTAGAATAACGTTAACTCATGACTGACTCATTATTGACTCAACACTGACTCATCGTATCTAATCAAATTACTAATCAAATCATCACAAAATGCATAAATCACAATTTATCATCTAATATATATACATATATATATATACATATATATATGTATTATCATTATTATTACTACTAAATTATAAATTATTATTAATAATTTATTGTATTATAAATTACTATTATTTTTATGAGATATTATATGTTCAGTCTCTCTTTTTCCATTATCCCTTTCTAAACCGTATATTTTCAATATGGTATTAGAGCGTTACCATCCACCATGAGAGGCTCTGCTCCTTGTCTTGACGTGCCTATTGAGCAGAATCACAAATGGGAAGTGAAGAAGAGAGTCTAAAGGTTGATAGAGGGCAACATCATAGGTTGGTAGGGAGATTGATATATCTAACTCATACCAGACCTGATTTAGCATATGCGGTCAATGTTGTTAGTCAATTTATGCACGATCGGAGGAAGAGACACTTATAGGTTGTGGATAGAATCTTCCTGTATCTTGAAACTACACTAGGTAGAGGATTTTATTCCGAAAAAGGAAATTAGTCTTTGGAAGTGTACACTGATGCTGATTATTTGGGATTCATTATTGAATAAAGTTTGACATCCGATTATTATATATTCCTTTCTGGGAGTTTATTAACATATAACATGGTGGAGTAGAAAATAGAATGTGGTAGTTCAGTCAAGCATAGATGCAAAATTTTGGGCTGTCTCAAGAGGTTTGTGAACTTCTATGGATGAAATTCATACTATACGACCTCAAAGTAAAATATGAAGGACCGATAAGCCCTTTTGTGTTAACAAATCTATCATTGGTATAGCTCATTATCTAGTTCAGGATGACAAAACATTTATATAGAGATCGACCAGCACTTCATCAAGTAGAAATTGGATAGCGAACTGGTTATCATTCCATATACCCCTTTAGAACTTCAATTAGCTGAAGTGTTAACTAAGGGACTTCCCATCATTCCATATGTCCCTTTAGAACTTCAATTAGCTGAAGTGTTAACTAAGGGACTTCCCATCGAGTGATTTCAAGACCTCGTTAGCAAGTTGGGAAGATAGATATCCAGTCACCAACCTGAGAGAGAATATTGTAAATATAGAAGGAATAATTGAGTAATTATTGTATATTTGATTTTCCCTTCTATTAGACAAATTATGATAGGACAGATTGTAGAAAAGATGTGTAACAGATTACAAGACAATTTTTTTTTTTTTATTTGTTTCCCTTGAATCAATTCTGTATTTAGGAAGTTATTACTCTCATTGGTCTATATATTGTAAACCTCTTTACATGAATAATAAAATAATAATTTTCAGTTTCAGTAACTGAAGGGTATCCCCACCCCCTTTGGGGATGAGACTAGTTTATCCATACCCCTACTATGATTTATTGTTAGTTCCTAATATATCTAATGAGTTTGCTTGACCAGACTCCTTATCACTTCTTTGCTTAAATTAGAATTGTTAGAACACCCTGCATGCTGTGCTGAATGTTGTTTTATATACCTTACCTTTTGTTATACTTGGGACTAATTAATATCTTTTTTATTTTCATCCAGGAACTGTGTCATGAAATGGGTCCCATAGTTTCATTCAACTTGAAAAGGCCAGATGGCTCTTGGTATGGATACCGTGAAGTTGAAAAGCTGGCATCTCTTGCAGGAATTCAGCTAAGGGTATAACTTACGGATCTCTTCATGTTGATATTTTCTTTTAGTAAATTCGTCTAGTCACCCTGGTAAAATAATCGTTTATTTGTACTTTTGCCATGCGTTTGCATTGAAGCTATTAATTGCTGATTATATATCTTTATTTGGCTGTCTGTTTAGACAGGATGCTTCTGCAATCCAGGTGCATGTGCAAAATACCTTGGCTTGTCTCACTTGGATCTTCTTACAAATACCGAGGTATTTCTATTGTGTGCTTTTACATGCTAACAACTGACTATGATTGGTTTGTGTATGTTGTAAGTTTATAACATAAAAAATGATTATCATATTTCTGCATTTAGGCTGGCCATGTTTGTTGGGATGATCATGATATAATTAATGGAAAACCTATTGGAGCTGTAAGAGTATCTTTTGGCTATATGTCATCATATGAAGACGCCAAGGTTTGTATTCTTTAGACCATTTTGCATTTTTCGTCAACTTTTGAACCATTAAAACTCTTTTGGTTCTGGGTTCGTTTTTATTTTATTCATGAGTGACCTATACTTTCTCAATATGGAAAGTATGCAACGGGAGTTAAAACAAGGTATAAGAGACGAAAGTATGCAACGTGAGTTAAAACAAGGTATAAGAGACTATGTTATTGCCGATTGCTAGTTTTGCTTGGATTCTTGCTTGGTGTGTCAATGTTGGGTTAACTGTCTTTCTCAAGATTTTGGTAACCCTTTTAAGAAGTCTAATTTATTTTTTGTTTCTTTTGATTTTCAGAAATTTGTTGATTTTATAGCACGTTCCTTCATGTCACCTCAAAATCACATTGACCGTGGGAATCAATTGAAAGGTCCACCCCTTTTTCGTAAATTAATTTATTCTTCATACTCAATGAATTGAAATTCAGTTTGCTTATAGATTTGCTTATGCAAATAAGGTGCATGTTTTAATGCAGCTACATAGTAGGCTTCCGTAACAATTTTCAGCCTGGGATTCTTACTAGTACATTTGTATGTGGGTTTCTTCTAAGAATGTCTTTGAGGGGTTTCTTTAACTGAGGGAGAGACTCTGCTAGAATAACCATCGGCATAAATGTTCTAGCAAGAAAGTATACATCTTGAATAACAAGGAAAAGATAGGCAAGTAGACATCTTCTACTTTTCGGGAACTTGACTGCGGAAAAGTGACGGGACAAGTCATAGAGGATAGTACCGCTCTGATACCATGTTGAATAATAAGGATAAGAAAGGCAATGTTTAAATCTGCATCTGTCAATAGCACAATGAAGGCGCTATTATATAGTGTCTACAACAGTTGCACTCGATGGCCTTTCAGGTACGTCTTGATGGCCTTGCTATTGAGGATAATTGCTCCCGTCACGATCTAACTTCCGATGTGGTTTTTGCATTAGCTGGAATTAGTTCAGCTAAGACTGTCGGTGATACAGCATTTGAGAGAAGTGTCACCCATGCTCATATGTCACAAGGTAGGGCACCCAATATTAGAGAAGTAGAAGACCAACGAGTAGAAGGGAAATAAGCACCAAGAAAAATACTAAAAAATGCAATGGATTGTACCAAAAAGACTCTAAACAAAGGTCGTTGGATATGTCACGGGAAAATTGTCTACCAGCAACCAGTCACGTATTAGGCGTCTTTATTTTTGCCGTAATGGATGTAGACCAGCCTCAAGTAGTCTTGAAGTGCAGAGAAAATGACCTCATAGCACTGAAACAGAGCAACTATGTTGTGACCTAGCTCCATCGTAGGTTGTCGCTACACCCATCGGTCCTCCTTCCACCGCTGGTTGATCCTGATTGGTTAAACGTAACTGATGACTTGCCGGAGAACCTTGATGTTAGCCAAAACCTGGTTAACTACCACAAACCAGGACATGACCTTGCTGGATTCTTTTCTTTTAGTTTCTTTCTCTCTCTCGCTTTTTTTTTTTTGGGCGGTGGTGGTGGTTGACTCAGGTGAAAAAGAGACCGGAAATCAGGGGTTCATGATACCATGCAAAGTAGGATGAATTTGGGAAGACTCTTTCCGATGTGGGTGCAGGTCTCTATTTTTGCAATTTGATAATTGTTGAAATATATAAAACCATTAATGTAACTGAAGAAAAGAAGAAGTGGAAGAAGTGTTTTATCTGAATAATACTTTCTTTTTCATTGAGAGACCCAATGGGTCCTTTTTATATTAAGTACATCCAACTACCTCAACTACTTTAATAAATATACAATCACCAACTACATCAATAAATATACAACTACCAACTAAATATACAACTACCAACTACATCAATAAATACTATCTAGAATATTCTACATATTCTACACTCCCCCTCAAGTTGGGAGATATATATTGATCATTCCCAACTTGCTGATCAAATTCTCAAAGGTCGGCTTAAGTAATCCTTTGGTGAGGATATCCGCCGTCTGTTCCTTGGTAGGTATATATGTCAAGCATACACTATCGTCTTCTAATTTCTCTTTGATAAAGTGACGATCAACTTCCACATGTTTTGTTCTGTCATGATGAACAGGATTTTGAGCAATGCTGACAGCAGCCTTATTATCACAATATAATCTGATAGGTAGAGAATAAGAGATCTCCAGCTCCTCCAGAAGCCTTCGTAACCAAATTCCTTCACAAATACCATGGGCTAGAGCCCGGAATTCCGCTTTTGCACTGCTTCTTGCAACAACAGTTTGTTTCTTACTTCTCCAGGTCACAAGGTTTCCCCAGACATAAGTACAATATCCTGAAGTAGATCTTCGGTCCATTGCAGAGCCAGCCCAGTCTGCATCTGTATAGATTTCAATCATCCTTTTGTGCCCCTTTTTAAAGAAAATTCCTCGACCAGGGGTATTTTTGAGGTATTTGAGAATTCTATAAACAGCACTAAGGTGTTTTTCCTTAGGAGAATGCATGAATTGGCTAACCATGCTCACAGCAAAAGCAATATCAGGACGAGTGTGAGACAAATAGATTAATTTTCCCACTAGTCTCTGGTACTGCTCCCTATCAACATCTTCCCCGTCCTCAACTCCCATCTTGATATTAGCTTCAATTGGAGTCTCTGTCGGCTTGCACCCAAGCATACCTGTTTCTTGCAACAGGTCTAGAATGTATTTTTTCTGAGTTAAAGAAATTCCTTTCTTACTCCGAGCAATTTCCATGCCAAGGAAATATTTGAGAGATCCAAGATCTTTTAGTTCAAACTGGTCAGCTAAACATTTTTTTAAAGAGGTTATCTCCTCGCTATCATTACCAATGACAATTATGTCATCAACATAAACGATCAGAATAGCAATTCTTCTGTTGTAAATATTTGTTATTTTATTATTATTATTAGTATTTGTTGTATTGGGCCAGCCCATTAGGTTAAGAATTAGGTCAAGTATTAGGGTTTTCATTCTCTATAAATAGAGACCTCTTTGTACAGATTATTTACACAATTCAATAATATTTCAAATACCCTTTTCTTTCAAGTTGGTATCAGAGCTCTCGATCCTGAGGGCTCTGCTTCCGCGCCTACGAAACCTTTTTTATTCTTTTTTACGTCTCTCGCTGCCATCAGCCGCCACCGGAAAAATTTTTCCGGGGACCTCTTGGACTGAGAAGACCATTGCTTCACTGTTCCTCTTTCTTTTTCCTTGTCTATTACACAACAAGAAAAAAAAACGTTCACAGAATCAACGTTCAAAACTTAGAACCACCGTACAGAACCTGTTCATCGCGATTGGACTCTTTTTCCGGCGGATTCTTCACTCCGAACAGCCACAGAAACCATCGCGCTCGCCGGACGACCTTTGCCTGAAAAACCCAGCACCATCGGAGGTCAGACGCGCCTCCACGCGCCGCCAGCTTCACCAGCGCGTGACGGTGGTTCTCGGCCGCGGACCACCACGGTTCTGATCGTCTCTCCAAGCCGGCTCTGGATCTGTGCTCTCCACTTTGATCGGACATCGTTTGGTATTTTTTTCCGAATTTCTTGGCTTCTTGGAGTTTGTTCTTTCACCAATTTCTTGCCTCCGACCAGATCTGACGTTGTTTGGTATTTGTTCCGGCCACTGTGTTACTGTTCCGGTCAGATCTGACGTTGTTTAGTATTTGTTTGTGATTTTTTGGCTTTTTGGTGCTATTCTTTGACAAGTTTTGTGCAGTATGGCCTCTTCTCAAAGGAGTTCCTTTACAAAGTTTTCTGATGGTGCAACTTCTGAACCTAAGAGAGATGATCGATGGTGTTCTTATTGTAAAAGAACAGCTCATATCAAGGATCTATGCTTTCGCCTCCATGGAAAGCAAACTGTCTTAGAAAAGATGAATAGGATGCATGGTCAACAGCATTTTACTTCCTCGAAAATAAATTCTGCATTTCGTCCAGATGAGTTGGAACGGCTCCGAACCCTCCTTGATTCTTTAAGTAAGCCATCTGATACTAGTACTTTGACTATGACTGGTATGAGCTCCAAAACTTATTCTTTCATTTCTTCATGTAATGATTTTAAACATTCTTGGGTTGTTGATTCTGGTGCTACTGATCATATGGCTTGTTGTGCTGACTCCTTTACTTCTTATCATCCTACCATTGGAACTCATACAATAGCCGTAGCTGATGGCTCTCATACATCAGTTGCGGGTTCTGGTGACATAAACTTACAGCAGTCCTTACATCTTAAGGATGTTCTTCATGTTCCTAAACTCTCCACGAATCTTCTTTCGATTCATAAAATTACAAAAGATTTGAATTGTACTGTAACCTTCTATCCTACCCATTGTGTTTTTCAGGATCTCGCCACGGGGAAGACGATTGGTAGTGCTAAAGAGCATGGTGGGTTGTACTATCTGGTGTCACAATCTCCTGCAAATAAAGTAACAGATCACATCTTGATGTCTCATGGTCAATCAACTGCTGATTCTTTGATTTGGCTTCATCATAAGCGCTTAGGTCATCCTCCATTTAGTTTACTCAAATCTTTATTTCCGTCATTGTTTTTGTCTAAGTCTGTTGAGTCTTTTCATTGTGATGTTTGTGAATTTGCTAAGCATCATCGTGTGTCTTTTCCTTCTAGTATTACTAAGAGTGTTGAACCTTTTGATCTTATTCATTCTGATGTTTGGGGTCCCTCTAAAGTCCCTCATGCTTCTGGAAATAGATGGTTTGTTTCTTTTATTGATGATTGCACTCGTGTAACTTGGGTGTACTTAATGCATGAAAAGTCTGAGGTACCACAACTGTTCTTTCAATTTTATAAAATGGTTGAGACCCAGTTTGGTAAAAAAATCAAGAGACTAAGAACAGATAATGGTACTGAATATGTTAATCACAGTTTTTCCCAATTTATAAGAAATAACGGTATGATTCATGAACTTACTTGTGTTGACACCCCCCAACAGAATGGGGTTGCTGAAAGAAAAAATCGCCACCTTCTTGAAGTGGCTCGTGCATTAATGTTTCAGACACATGTACCCAAATACTATTGGGGAGATGCTATTCTTACTGCAGCTTTCTTGATCAACCGTTTACCCACTCGTGTACTTGACCATGTAAGTCCTATTCACTTTATGACTTCTTTTTTCCCTTCTATTCCAATTATGAGTCTTCCTCCACGTGTGTTTGGGTGTGTTGCTTTTGTTCATGTTCATAAACATCATCGCGGTAAGTTGGACCCTAGGGCTATTAAATGTGTTTTTCTTGGTTATGCTCCTGATAAGAAGGGCTACAAGTGCTATCACCCTAGTAGTAGGAAATTTTTTGTTTCTATGGATGTTACATTTCAGGAATCTGAGTCTTTTTTCCAAGGTCCTCATCTTCAGGGGGAGAATCCTTCACCAGAAATCTCAT